GTGGAGCGGGTGCCAGCAATTCATCTGCTGCCTGGGCATCGGAGGGTCAGGAGGCAACCCTTGGTCTTTTCAACAATTCAGAGAAATCCTTTTCTGTTTTCGAAAAGCTTGTAAATGAATTAAGATAGTCATTAGCAGCAGGGGAAAAGACATCTAAGGAAGGTGCATCTTCCATTAAGCTCACCCGCCGCTGCTGCACCAAGCATACCCCAGGCTTGTCTGCTCTTTGCTTGCCTCCCAGGAGGAACCCAGCTCCGCCACCTCCACCTGTCCACCCCTGCTCACCACCTGCAGCCTCTTCCTTCCCCTCCTCCCCCATCTCCTCTTTCCCTTTTTATTTTTGTGCTCTGTACTCTGTCAAGGAATCACGACAAAGCACTAGATCAAAGAAGAGCAATCCAAACAGGAAAGCCGATTGTGCTGCTGCTGCTCCTTTAAATCTCTTTCTCCCCCAGGGCTGAAGCTAGAGGTTGCAAACTGGCCTCCTGTGGGCCAAGGGTGGTTGGCAGATATGTTTCTGGGAAGCCCAGGCAATGTTCTTAAAGTTACAGATATTTAAAACTCAGTATACTGTGCAGAAAACTCCACACTCCCAGCTATTCTTGAAAAATTAAAGATTTGGCAACATGAGCCCATACTTAGCTGGGGTGGGGTTAGCTGCTTCCTAGAGATGGACCCACAGTCCCGTGTGCTGCAGTCCCCACCACTCCCTTTTGCCTCTGACTCCGAGACCCTTGTCAGTTGCCATTTATGATCGTGATGGGCCAGGTTTACTTTGCTCTTTCTTGCTGCCTGGTCCTGAGGGTGCGTGTATTTGAGCTTGCTATCCCATATTTAAACACTTGGAAAAAACAAGTCCCAGCTGCTGTGATTGTTCCATGTGTTTTTAAGTGCCTCTGGCAAGAAGTTAGAGCTTCCTACTCTAAGGCTATCAAGCCTTATGCCATTATTCGGAACCCGATCTTAATGATGATGATGGTGATGATGATGATGATGTAATGATACCTGGGTAATGGATAGTAGTTACTATTGGCACATATGTCTGCCTAATTCTACAGGTGTCTTTTCTTTCCAAGAAGTCATTAATACTGAGGGATTCAGAAGAATTGAGGAATAAATGGTGCAAACACAGGAAGGAGAAGCCAGCAGGAGGCACGTCCCAGGTATGCTTGCATTGCCCTTGCTTCCTTCACAGGGAGAGGAGGCTTGTGGGCAAAAGAAAAGAAATTCTTCCCATCCACACCTTAGATGCTAATTCTGGCAAGAATGCAGATTTCTTCATCTTACCTCTGAAGCTGTAAAGTCAAGCTCAAGAACCATTTCCAGTTATCCCCGAGCAAGGGGAGAACCTGGGGAGCACCACGTGAATCAGCCAACCTCGGCATACAAAAAGGACACTGACAGTCTGAATCAAGTTTATAGAGCTAGAAGTTAATAACAAAAAATGCAAAGGCAACAGGAAGAATCATGTCCATGAGCTCTCAGAGCTCAAAGACAGAACGTAAATAACCTGAGACATGTCACTTACTGAAGGACCAACATTCTTCCAACAGTTAATCAGTCACTAAACTAATATTTACCTGTGTGCAAGGAACTAGGGCTGAAGTGATCATCCAGGCAGACACAGGAACTGCCTTTGTGAGTGGTCTATCAGGGAGGAGTAATTAAACACACAATTATAATTATTTCATTCATTACAAGTGTGGCAAGTGGTATAAAAGAGAAGTCAAGGTATGGGAACATTTACCAAAAGACCTAACCTAGGAAGAGGGCCCCTCACCTCCCACCCCCACCGAGGGAAAAACATTTAAGCTAAGAATGAAAGGGTGAGTCTAAGTTGCCCAGGCACAGAACCTGTCCATCTTTATTGAGCACTTACTATGTGCCTGGTACTGTACAAGGCATTGGGGTTAGAGAGAGAAATTAGCAACAGCTTTTCCTCAAAGAACTCACAGTCTACTGGGGGTAAATAGGCTTCCATTATATCTGCTGCTGGGAAATGATGGGATCTCTTCATCACTATACAACCAATTAAATAGTCATTTTAAAAATGTTCTGATACTCAGAAGAATGCAACCAAAAATCTTCCTAATTTCAAAATGTTCTGATATGAGTGCAGAGAATTTCTCTAATAATTAAAAAAAATAGATGAAAATGAGAAACTATCAAACCCTGTGGAGCACCTGAGGTTTCACCAAGATAACAAGGCTTATTGTCTGGGGATATACAAGCTGCCCAACCATCCAAGAGAAAGGTTAAATGAGGACTTGAATAAAAGGAGTGAGGCAGGACATAAACCTTTGGAGGCCTGTAAAATCCTGCTCAGTGATTAATAATATTAACAATCATCATCGTAATAATGTTAAGGATAACTAAACACTCTGGCAAATCTCTATGTGTACTTAATTAACATATTTAATTCTGTGGGTAGGTAGGATTATTTCCCCCATTTTATGGATGAGCAAATGAGAGATTTCTGTTTATGGCAGTATGGCAGACTGAAGAGCCTGAGAACTAAAGTCTACAAAGCATTAGACATGCTAAACAGAACAACACATCTGTTGTTTAACCACGAAACGGACTTTGCAAGTAAGCCTCCAGTGTCAAAATCAACGAGTGAACTATGCATTAGAGCAGCGAACAGATACTGCAGCTATCCCTTGGGGGCTGATTGGGACAAGTGGCTGGGTTCACTGAACAAAGAGCTTGGATTTTAAAGGCCACAAGAGGATGAAAGACGAGGTGCTGGGCCTGCGTGGAGCAGAGAGTTGATACTGAGACTCTTCTATGTAAAGTTAGGGACTTAAGAGAGTTATAATCTCAGTGAAAAGGAGACAACAGACAGAAATCCACCCAGTGGGGCAGAAAGACCACAAGGAAACCCAACTATCTCTCCTGGGCTCTGGGTAGGGGGAAAAAATTGGCTGCCCAGAGAATTTGTATCCATGGATCTTCCATCACAAAGGTTTGGGATTCTAATATTCATTTACTGAGTGGTCCAGGAAGCCCCAAAGTGAAAATTTAACCTAAAAAAAATTATCCTAAGCAAGAGATATCTCCAAGGCCCCTAGCAGAAATGAATTAAAATGCATACCTTTAACCTGGGCCATTCCAAGTCCCATAAATAAAGTCTTCCTGAAAATGAGTTCACAATCCAAGTCATAACATAACAGGAAAAAGATCCACCATAAATAAAATCAGCAGCCGCAATAAACAATAGAAAAGACCTCCAAGACCTTCAAGTAATAGAACAATCACATAAAAACTATAAAATATTTAAATTAATTGAAGGCATAAAGGAAGGAATGAAACATAAGATCAACACACTATCAACAAAGATATGTGAAAAAAGAATCTCTAGAAAATAAAAATGAAATTACTGAAAATACGATCTTGGTGGATTGGCTATCAGCCGATAAGGACACCTAAAGAAAGATTTAGTGAACATGGTGATAAAGCTGAGAAAAATGTTACACAAGAGATAAAGAGAAAACAAATATCAAAGAGGTCAGTATATAAGGAAGAAAGAATAAAAAAATCCAACATACACCTAATAAGAGTGGGCTCTGGAGCTGACTTCCGAGGTTGGGGCCCCACTCTGCCACCTACCAGCTGCATGGCCTGGGGCATGTGACACGTGGCTGGAACGGTGGAATCACAGCCCAAACCTGGATCTCGGGAGCCCAGGGCCCACGTGCTCACTGGTTATTCTTATGACAGGATTTCTACGTCGTGTGCTCGGACGGGGGTGTCTTCCTCCCGTGATGAAACTGAGTACTATTATCCTAGTTTAACAGACGCAGTAACTGAGGTTCAGAGAACTTAGGGAATTCTCCCCAAGTCATGAAATATAAAGAACTGGAGCTGATTCAAGACCAGGTGCGACTCTGAAGTTGGCCTCTTAACTTCCACGCTCATCTATAAGGAAGAGGGGCAGCCCCGTGGGCTCGGCATAGGGAGACTGGAAAGCTGTCTGCTGGACCCCCAGCGTCCACGCAAATGTCTTTTTTAAGGTAGAATGTAAAGAGCAGGGGCAAATGCCTCTCACTCATATACAGAATTTCCTGCTCTTACTTAACAGTCACCCAGCGGTTAAGATTATGTGCTTTGGAATTAGAAATAATAAGGATAATTGCTAATAGTTATTAGACACTTACTACGTGCCAAGCATAATGCTAAATAAGTTCTTTCAGTCTTCACCACATCCCTTTTCACATAATTATCCCATAACACAGACTAAGACCCTCGGGTGTAGAGAAGTTAACCTCACACAGCTACAAATCAGCGGAGGCTGGATGTCAACCCAGGCCATCTACCACCAGAGCTTATGTCCTTTCCACACTGAACTCCTGGGACTTCCTCACCCATTGACTGCGGATGACAGTACCCTCCCTCCTGAACTACGAAGAGGAACTGAGACAAGGTAGGTAAAGCCACCACTTGCAGCACAGTATCTGACATGACAATGCTAATGGTGATGATGGTGACGACAACAGGGACTTGCAGACACACAGACCTAAAAGGATGGTACCATTCCTGATTGCTCCAAAATAACAAACTGCATAAAATCCTCAAAAAGAACTCTTTCTTTCCATTTCACTCTGACAGATCTTCAAGAGGACATACGTGCTTTACGTGAAAGCTAATTTTCAAAATCAAAATCATGGCATTTCACATTATGTGAAAATATGAAGAAAAGTATTTAAAAGAATCTAACAAAAAAAACTATAGAGAAGTTGGGTGGGGTGGTGGAGGGAGCTCACATTACCCAATGCAGTAGCTCTAGCCTTGAGCTCATTTTCCAGAATTCTTGAAATATCAGTAACAGCAGATTAAAAGACCAATTAATCAGGTTGTTTGTTCTCTGTGTGTGAGTCGCTGTTGCCATCTACAGTTAAAAATGAGGCATGCAACACTGCCAAATAATTCTAAAAAAACACAGTCCCGGAGGTGGCGGCGCTAAGAAAATATGCTTGTTTGATGAGTACAGAAAATGCTACCTGAAGGAGCAGCTCTTTTTCAACCACCTCCTCTGTCTTGCTGATGAGACGCTTCTGCAGGGTATGAATTTTCTGTATCAGCTCATAGGTACTGGGGTCACTGGCCTGTTCAAGGGGAACAAAATAAAGAATCTGAGACACCATCGGTTGAGGTCCCTATGCAAAAGAACTGTTTTGTTGAAATCTACTGCACACATGCAAACCCAGGACAGAGAGATTTAGAACCAAAAAGAAAAAAAAAGTTAGCTACTATGCATGATACCTGATTCTTTGTCACCAACCAGACACCATACTAAGTGCTTTCCATACGTTGTCTGATTTTAGCCACACAACAGCCCTACGAAACAGCTTGGGTCTTCCCCCAGCATTAAATTATTTACCCACACAGGTAAGGGTCGGAGCTGGATTCAGGCCCAGCCATGTCAGGCTCTAATTACTATACTCCGAGGCTTCCCCTACCATCATCTCTGTTTCCATAGGAATGAGACAGGGTTCCCTAATTCATTCGGCCTCAGGATTCTCCTTTGGTACTGTCAGCAAGAAGATTCCTTACAGCCTACAATGGGGAAGATTTCGAGGATGTGGACTTCTGCTAATAATTGCCAACAGAGCACGACCATGGCATTTAGCTCTCAAACAGTGTTATCAATTCGCAAAGGTCTGATACACCTTCAATAGCTATCTGTGTACAATTCAAACAAGATCTGCACTTATAAATTGATATTCTGTCCTCTAGACTTTGAGCCAAAGTTTCACTTTCAACTGTATTGACATTTTGAATTAATCTAGCAGTTAAATATTTTCAACTGCCTCCCAGCATCTCTATTTTCTAATTTTTTAAATAGAAATTGACATGGAATTGGAAACTTTAAAGCTCTGCTTGAAAACGCAGGGAATAAACTAATGTGACAATAAATGGATTTAAAATCTTCAGCTCCACTTCCCCACACATCTATATTACGGTTAGTTTAGTAAACTGCACCACTCTTGGCATTTGGAGAGGAATAAATGAGGGTCCACAAGAGAGGGGAGAAAGATACTCCATTAACTCTGACTTTGCTTATGAAATACTAAGCAGTGCCGAGTGATATCCATACGCTGGGACTAGATTTGGCACACAGGTTCACTTGGCAGGACTGGCTGTTGTTAAAATCCAGGCCTCATGTTTATATAACAATTTATAATGCATTATCCTTAATGCCTTCTTCATCAAGAAGAAAAGTAAAAATGAAAAACAAAAAACGACTTGGCGGTTTTCTCCCCGGCCCTGCTTTTCCTTAAAACACATATTCTCAACATCCTAATCGTCCCATTAGCCGAAGCCCCTACTGGCGCCCACATTGCTGGGGACAACGAGAGGAGAGGGCCACCTTTCTCCTGACTAAGCAGAGATTGTTTTCAACTGCTGTCTGCAGTGCTGGCGGTAACGTCTACCAGGAAATCATAAAATAAAATAGGAGGTTTGCAGGCATACCTCGGAGAAATTGCGGGTTTGTTTCCAGACCACTGTAATAAAGTGAGTATTGCAATGAAGAAAGTCGTAATCTTTTTGCCGGTGGAGGTCTTGCCTTCAGTTTGTTTAAAAAAAAAAAAAAAAAAAAA